GTGTATCCCACATGGATCATGTCTCAACCCACTACTGCGCATGCCCTTGAATAATTGTCGAGTGTATCCCACATGGATCATGTCTCAACCCACTATTTGCGCATGCTCGTAAATAATTGTCGAGCGTATCCCACATGGATCATGTCTTAACCCACTATATGTATTGTTTCTCATGTTGTCTTTCTCACAGGAAATGGAGCAGCGTGCACACCTTCTCAAGAAGCTTGCGTTTGTCATTTTTTGTTCAGAAAGTGATCAGTATCAGTACTGTCTTCCTGAGATCCAGGAACGCCTGGCAGAATGTATACGTCTACCACAGGTAACCCAATAGTCCACTATATCGCAATTAATGTACACGAACATCAACGAAAATGAATTATTTCCTCTCTAGGCACCAGTACTTCACGAACAAGTCTTCTTAGCTCTACGAGTACTTCTTTTGCGCATGTCACCACAGCATTTGACGTCACTGTGGCCCGTGATTATTTCAGAAACTGTTCACGTGATGCTACAGCTTGAAAGCGACCTATCAACGGACGATAAGTCACATGATCAGCGCATGCTCATTTCCGAGACGCTCCTGGGCACTAACGGTTACGTTAGCTATAGTCAAGAGAAGTGGCTTGGGCTCTACTTGGCTGCTTTTAAGCTTCTTGATCTTACTTTATCGTTACCTGGCGACCGATTGCCTCATTTCCAGATGTACCGCTGGGCGTTCGAGGGTGGTGAAGTGAATTGTAGTTCAGCTATGACAACGAAAAGGTTAGTTTTCTTGAGAGAGGCAACAATCCCACCATTTATCCCACCATCCCTTAATTCACTTTCCATTTATTTATTCATTTATTTTTTCTTGTAGCGCAAGTGGAGATGGCAAAACAGAGAAAGTAACGATATTCAAGCCGCATATCGCTCGCATATGGAAACTCTTACGAAAACGTTGTCGGAAACCCGAAGACATCACGGACTTACAACGAACGTCTGGTCGACCACTTCTCACCATGTATCAAATAAAATCACTGGACCAGTTGTTACCATTCCTCAAGTGTCTCTCAAAGCCAAATCGGTCAGAATTGGTTGCAGAGGACTCGAAAACAAAAGGAGGATCTCAAGGAGTCGTTTTATTTGAAAGGATTGTGGAACGGGATTTCCTTGAATCACTAATTGCTGACTAATTACATTTTATTGAGCACGTGGTCTTGGGATCCCTGTATAAAAATATTTAATGAGTTCGTTGAATTACAAAAATATGCTAAATATTGCTAATGATATTTAAACTTGAATAAATACTTTAAAAAATCTTTTTTTTTCAACAATATGTATGTTAGTTTGTAAATTTTCATTTTCGAGAATTGATAATACGACAATCCAATGTAGATATTTTGAATAATTTCCAAAATAATAGCGAACTGCTAAAACATTATGGTGTATTATTTTAAAAGCTATGTTTTGTAAACGAATCAATATTTAATCTAGTTTATATTATATGAATATCTATGAGAATTTCGAGTTAAACTCTGTTGGATCAAGACATGTATAGTATAATTAAACGGTGGAAGTCACGATGCTTCGCCGAGGAGAGGCTCGATATCGAACTGTGGTTTCTATAGGAGGTAATGGTTTTTTTAGATTAATGCTGTAGAATTATTGTAAAAGTAATGGAAATTTGCATTATAAATTCTATAAATAATAAAAATAAATCTTGAAGGAGGTTTGAGTTGCTTTTAGTTTACATAGGGGGAGGGGTGGGGTGGGTGTATATTATCTTGGTAGGGGGGCGGGCAGCAAAAGAAGACGCAACTTGACTCTTAGTATCACTGCGATGCTTAGTAATTTTTCTTATTACTAGAGCTTTTTTTGCTATGGTCTTTTAAGGGGGAAAATGTTAAGGAGTTTAGTCCTCAAACAATAAAAATAATGTCGCGTGTGCTAGATAGAGCCCAATAATTCTCCTTTTGTCCTTTTTTAAAAGGAAAAAAAACATTTTTTAAAAACATTTGCGGACAGGCTCAACTATATAGCCCTAGTGTGACAATTAAGCCTGTTGTTTCTTCGATCAATGGAACATATGATCAGTGAAATCAAAGCGGATAGGAAGCCAATTGAGTGCCAGTCAAAAGTGAGAAAAGTCGGTAACAGTTGAACAGCCATTTCTTTTCACATTGTAAAAAATTTCCGTCTTCCAAGCTTTCGTGGAATTATGTCCGGCTAATCGCGATTTCTTCTTTATCGTTCATGGATTATGATGAACTCAAACAGTCAAGAAACGAAAATTTAAAATAGATCTTCAGTCTCTCGTTTTCCATTTGTTTTCTATCCAAGTTTATAAATAGTTCAAAATAGATTGTAAACAATTTGTATATGTTTTTAGAAGGCAATAATTTGTGAATGGAGTGTCAATTTGTATTCCAACAGAGCTATTCAAAGAACACTGAAGTTTGTTGATTTGTGTTGCCATGGAACTTCCGTGTTGTAATTTACATAATAATATTATCGCTAACAAGATAGCATAAGTCCTAGTATAATATATTATAGCAGATAACAGATGACGATCACAGCTATCAGCTTTGGTCTTGCCATTGTGTGAAGACGACGATTTTGTGATTACAGTCAATCAGTAATCGCGCTACTTGTCGAGGTATAAAGGACTAGAGGAGCCTAGACTTGACGGCGTTTTATTTAGAGACGACTTGAAGTTACTCTATCACAAATCCATGGCAAAGAAAGGAAATAATTTGACATTGAGCTAATATAACTTCGCCATTTTGAAAATTAGCCATTGTTTGTTTTCTTTCCAAACGGAAAATATCAATTTTTGTCGTCAATCAAATCAATCTGGGTTGCGGAAGCTCACAGACCGCGGAATCAGCGGTCGCTCCTCAAGGAGCAGAACAAGCAAACATGGAGGCGCCAAAGTTGAGTTTTCCATCTCTTAATTCGCCTCAAAGAGCCGCATCAAGTGGCTCAGTAAGAGCCAAAGTGGCTTTAAAACCGGGGAGAAGTCTTATGGATTGGATAAAATTAGGTGCAAGTGGAAAGGATTTAACAGGAGTTGGAGGAATTCGTCGTCCTGTGACTTGGGATGAGCTTTCAAAGCACAACACAGAACACGACTGTTGGATGTCAGTTCGAGGTAAATATTCAATATTTACGTCAGTTTTGACATTTGTGCCTCGAGGCCATTTCTAGTTCCTTTAATTGTCTATTGACCGTTGTTAATAATCGTAATCTCTCATAATTTCCCAAGTTGTTTTGACAACCTTGTTCATATAGATCGAGCTATAGACTCATAAAATCTAAACGTGATCTAAAGCTTACCCTCTGTAAGTTACTTATTAATATTCTTAACATTGTTTGCACAAATGTCGACGTTTTCATCTCAAATTAACAWTATTTGCATCTGCGGAAATTTAAGAAATGAGTCGCATATCTTTGAAATATTTTCTTTCAAATTTTTAAAAGAAATTCTTGATGGAAGAGATGATTTTGGAAGGAAGTGAAATAAAAAAAACATTCATTTATTGCTACATAGACGTAGTTWGAAGTGTCTTAATACAATGACCTGTTTCATATGTTAACCACAACACAGGATGTAGCCTCATTCTTAATCGATATTGCTCATGTTTTTTTCTCTTCTGTCTTTAAATTTTAATATAGAATGCATCACTTAAAGTACTAAAAAAAATCTCATCCAACATAACCGAGAACACACACAAAAAAAAACACAAATTTAGATCACTTAGAAAATTTAAAAATGTAAATATTATGAAAAAATACTCATATAGATTATTCACACACCAAAAAATATATTTAGTATATGTTTTCATGCCCCCTCTCAATATTGAATAACATTTTCTTATATATTTTCCAGGAAAAGTGTACAACATCACACCATATCTGGAATATCACCCTGGTGGGATACCTGAGATAATGAAAGGAGCTGGAAAAGATGGCACAGCATTATTTGATGAGGTATGTTGTACACATCATATATGCTTGTTTCTGCCTTTGTCATTGTTTAAACTTTTCTTTCTTGTCATTCATTGTTGACCAGATTCATAAGTGGGTGAATGCTGAATCCATGCTTGAGAAGTGTTTTATTGGTCCACTGGATACGAGTACAATGATGCCTCCTCCAAGGCCAGGATCTAATAGATCTTTAAAAAAATCAACTGGATCTTTACGAACACCAAATTCATTATCGGTACCAATGGGTGAGTAGTTTTAGTCTCTTGAACAAGATCCCGAAACTTTGGGTTTACTGACTCGTGAAAGATTGATTGATTGACTGAATGATTGATTGATTGATTGACTGATTGATTGATTGATTGACAGAAGGTTTGCTTGATTGATTGATTGATTGATTGATTGATTGATTGATTGACTGATTGATTGATTAATTGATTGATTGACAGAAGGTTTGATTGATTGATTAATTGATTGACTGATTGATTAATTGATTGATTGATTGACTGAAGGTTTGATTGATGGATTGAATGATTGATTGATTGTCTTATTGAGTGATTGCCTGACTTCTTCTTTGATCGATTGATTAATTGATTGATTGATGATTGACTGACTGACGTACTAATTGATCATAATTATCAATTGTCTCTGAATGTTTCAGCAGGTGGTACTAAAAGTTTATCAAAACCCACTGAGGAATCCAATTCACCCAGGTAAGTATGCCTCTTCTGCAAAAACAAGGTGCAAAACATTTTACAATATTAAGACTAAGTAAGTTATTTTCTATTCAACAGATATGATTGGTACCAAAATGCTAAAATTATTACTATAAGTGTATATACAAAATACAAGGTACGTTGTAAATTAATGTACCAATTTTATATGTTGTTTWATATATCTTAGACAAATATCTCTATTTGTTTCAGGATTTACAGATAGAAGACGTGATTATAGAAGTCACAGAGGATAAACATTTTGATGCAATTGTAATATTAGGCGAGAAAAGTTATCAAATCCATCTTGGTGAGTCAAGTGAGATAACCACCTTYGCATTTTACTCAGATGGTTCTAATTTTTATTTTACATTTTTAAAATCTTATGGTCTTCTCTGCATTCTTGTTATCTRATCTTTTCTTAATATTCTTTTTGTAGATCTTGAAGATAAGATTACAGATCACAAAGGTAACATTTATCTCTATTCATCCATTCATCCCATTCTTTCATTCAATGATCCATTAATCCATTCTTTCATTAGTCATCCATTTATTTGCCCATTTATCCTATTCATTTTTCCCTCAATCTATCTCATTCATTTTCCCATTTCAA